ATCAAAGTCACACAGAAAAGGCTTCCCATAATCCTGAATATGAAGATATGTCAAGAGCTGCGTGCAAAATGGATTTGCATACATCAGAACTGCACATACAGCCACTCAGCTGGGCATCCTGAAGTGCATTAAAAATGGTAATACTGAGTTTTGTGGGTGCTGATAATTGAATGATGGAGAAACACACAGAGATGTGTGTAAAACTGTAGCATCTTTTCCACTTGTCTTACTCAGATGGCTCAAACATAAACAGGGAGGCTGCTAAGGTAGCCAGCAATCCTTGAATATTTAAGGGCTTTCTGGTTCAAAGAGAAATTCAAAGTATCACTTAGCCATACAGAAATAATTAGCAAAGGAAGATTTAATTTTGTAGTATTCAAATTTTCAGTTCTAAAATGGCCTCATACTATCACCCACTGATTTTGTAAAAGCATTTGCCCAGTTGGTGGTGCATTAGAAAACCAAGAACTTTTTCTTCTGCATCAAGAAAAGATAAACACCACTCTTACATGGGCTGGTTTAGTGCTGACCAGAAGCCCCATCTTCAGCCTTGGTGTCACTATCCTTAAGCGACCATAACTGTATCAGCACTATGTCAGCACAAACCCTACAGCGGGACAACATCTAAAGCTAAATTCCATCTTTGGGTTCAAGGTCACATCTCCCATTCAAACACTGAGAACTGGATCACACACTCATCGCAATATCCTTTCCCCATCTAAAACATCCTTCCATTTTCAGTGGGACAGGGATGCTTTTTCTTGGTGTTGCAAGGTTTTGTGCTTATGACTATTGCAATGAATGTGATCGTGTTCTCACTCACTCTGATGAAAAATTTCATGGTAACCTTTAAAATGGAGCTTACAAAAATGTCACTGCTTGCTCTAGCAATAAAGCTCCTGGCAAGTTTTAATGGGCACAGTGTTAAAAACTAACGGTCCCCAATGACTGCAGGCAGCAGGAACCTGGGGCTTTGGGTTTTCTCTTAAATGAGCCACCCATTTGTGTCAAAAAGTTTGCTTTGAAAGTGGAAGCTACGATATTTTTATTTGTGCTTTGCCTTTATCAAGCAAAGGAAAAAGTCATATTAGCTTTAATTAAAATCTCTCAAGGATTTGCAGGGAACTGTATAAGAAGAAACTCTGGAAAATACGCTGTTCTGCTTGGCTTGGTTTTAAACAGGGAAAGACGAGTTTTTAATCTCTTTTCACTACGCCTTTCTTGCTCAAAAATAAAAAGTGAATGATGAAAAATAATGACTGCATCCAAAGGGAAGTCATTACAAATGCAACTTAGACATTCCCAGAGGAGAACTGACCTATGACTTCTTATGGAGGCAATGCAGCATCCCTTGGAGGGCATCACTTTTTCTAAGTTACTCTAAAAGGAGATGAGAGTCCCCAGCCCCAGAAGTGTTGTCACACTCAGCGGCAAGGTGTTGATCCAGTATGTGGTACTTGTTGTTGCCGGGGAGTTCCCATCCTTAGGAAAAGAAAGTGGATACCAGGGGCTGCTGTACCACAATAGGTTGCTGGATCTTTGTTTTTTTTTAAAAGACGAAGTTTCCAAGTTTCCAGTCACCAGCATTACTGCTGCTGAGCTGTTTCCAACTTGCAGCTGATGGAAATTGTTCTCATTTTTACTGCCTTCTGTATTTCTTGCTTCTGAATTTCATTGATCTGCTCTGGTTTACATGCACAGCAGCTTTGGTTCATCTCTGATTTGTATGGGAATCAGTGAGGAAAGTGAGAGAGACAGACAGCAGTGGGGTTCACAGCGACAGCATGTGGCATATGGAGGCAAATGATCTTCCATGAATATTACAAATATCTGCAGTAATTTCTGTTCATGGAGCTATCAGCTGGAAAGGTAGTTGAGGAGAGGACTGTTTACCCCTCACAACCGCTCAGAGAAGTGCAATTCCTGGCTGACACCCGGAACTGAGACGGTTTGGCTTTAATTCTGGACGTTTGTTCATAGACTCGTGGGAGGCTCAGCTGGGTGAGGTGCTGAGAGGTTTCCTCCCATGCAAAAGCAGCACCAGTCAGTTACACAGAGCTAATAGAAGATTTTTTAACTCCTTCTCTGCAAACAACCAGTAGAGGAAATTCTCCTGCTTCTCTGAGCAATTTGTTACCATTACAAGATCATAAGACAACAGCAAAAAACATGCTTCCCCAGAGTCCTATTTGATTAACAAAAGAAGAAATTGAAACAAGCCCAGCCTTCAGATGAAACACTGTGCTGCGATCCTTTCAGTCCTGAATCAAAATCAAAGTCTTGGGGATCACCTGAGAGCATCCCCCTGCAGCCTGCAAGCATCCCCCTGCTGTTGAAGCTGCACCCTGGCTTGCACAGCGGTGCAGGGGGGCAAGAATCACAGAAACATTTAGGTTGGAAAAGACCTCTGAGGTCATCAAGTCCAACTGTTAGCCCAGCACTGTCATATCCCTAAGTAGCACATCCACATGTTGTTTGAACACTTCCAGGGATGGTGATTCCACCACTTCCCTGAGCAGCCTGATCCAATGATTGGCAGCCTTTTTGATGAAGAAGTTTTTCTAACTATCCAATCTTAATGTCCTCTGGCACAGTTTGGGGCTGTTTCTCCTCATTCTGTCTCTTGTGACTTGGAAGAAGAGACTTACCCCCATCTTATCTCAAGTTGGCCAGATATCTTTAAAAGAGTGCAGAAATACCAAGCTAATTAAGAAATTAAGACGTCTTCCTGATGAGCAAGCAAACAAAGAAAAACCCTAATAGTCCTAGAAATAAAAAAAAGGCACCAGACTCGAAGTGACAAAATCAAGGTGGCATTTGTGGTTACCTCCTCCTTTCAGGTAGTCGAAGAGAACGAGAAAGTCTCCCCTCACCCTCTTTTTCTCCAGACTAAATGAACCAGGGGGAATGTCTCCCTGGTTCCAGATACAGGTAGATTGGGAAATAGGCTCAGCCTGTGATCCCATCCCTTATTTACAGGACATCACTCTATGGTGGGAAAGATAGCAAAAGTCCTGGGATGCCACTGTCCAGGTGGTCAAGTGAAGAGGAGGGTGTAGGCTGAGCAGACTGCACACAGTACATAGTCCACAGGGACAGCAGGGGCCACGCTGTACTTTGGGGAGGCTGAGTTTGCTCTCAAGCACATACCAAACTTGTTAAACTATGTTTCCATAACTTGCCTTCCTTTCCTTCATCCTCATCTTTTTACTTCAAGGTAATGGAAGAAAGAAAAGGTACAAGGAAAGAGGATTTGCCTGGATTAGCTGGGAGCAGGAAGGGTCTGGGAGCAGGTTTACTGACCTGCTGACAGGGCTTACCATTGGAATTAACCCTTATATGGGTCATGCTGCTGCCTGCAAGGAGGGTGGGAGGAACACAGAGATATCTAAATTTCTGCTGCTTTGAACCAAACCAACCTCCCACTGTGAGAAAACCCTTTTTATACAGCAAGGTATGAAAAAAAGGAGAGACACTGCCCTTTTTTCCTCCCCATAGAATTTTATTAGAATCAGAGAACCGTTTTGGTTCAAAATGACCTTTAAAGTTTGTCTAGTTCAACCCCTCTGCAATGATCAGGGACATCTTCATCTAGATCAGCTTGCTTAGAGGTCCATCCAACCTGGTCTTGAATGTTTCCAGGGATGGGGCATCTACCACCTCTCTGGGCAACCTGTGCCAGTGTTTCACCACCCTCATCCTAAAAATTTCTTCCTTATATCTCGTCTGAATCCATCCTCTTTTAGTTTAAAACTACTACCCCTTGCCCCAGGGCTAGAGGCCTTAGGGTGTTTCTGGTGCCCTTTAACTCATTAAAGTAGGGTTGGGTCTGCAATATCACCCATGGAATGAAACATGATTTACAGTTCAACTTGTTCAACACCGGTAGGATAAAAATGGAATTTGCTTTCAGAAATAGCTTTACAAAACCCATGGAAGTGAGCTGCACGTTTGGTGGCTAGGCTCCCTAGCATCCTCACAGCAGGCAGAGGGAATGAAGAAGTTTTGCAGCCCCACCAGTGCTACTGGGGAGGAATAAAGCTCCTTTGCTGCCCAGATACCTGTCAGCAATATCCCCCCTATGCAGGTGAGGTTCCTGTAGGTGATTTCTGCCCCAAGTCCAGACAATATGGCTCTGTAAGAGCACACATGGTGTGTACATGTTCTCCTGTCTCCAGGATACCTAGTCCTAGTGTCTAAAGCTTTTGGCTTGGTAGGTGTTGCACATTACTTCAAGTTGGCCAGACATCTTTAAATGAGTGCAGAAATACCAAGCTAATTAAGAAATGAAAATAGACCTGTCTTCCTGATTGGCAAGCAAAGAAAGAAAAACTCTAATAGTCCTAGACAGAAAAAAAAAAAAAGCCAGACTTGAAGTGACAAAATCCAGGTGGCATTTGTGGCTGTGCAATGATAAACAAGTAATAGCCACAGCACTTGCTGCTTCCATTTGGGATACTCCACATGAGACTTCTGGGGTATGAGTTTCCAGATATGCTAAACATCCACCCCTCACTGTTTTCCACAATTTTTGTCACTCAATGCCCACAAGTAGCCAGAGTAGAATCCTTCAGGATTGGTTTGCCTTTCTTCAAACTGAGAACCACACAATTTACCCCAGTTTTCAGTAACATTCAGCTTTGGTCTGACAGCATCTCTTGCCACACTCGTGCACGGACATCACACATCCTGCAGCTGAGACAGGGCCTCGCTACTGCTTTTGAAGCACACTGAGAAGGTGTTACAGAAATGGACTGATCAGCTCTGTTTTCATTTCCTGACCCACTGAAGCTCTCCTTTGATTTGGGAGGAGTAACTCCTCAGAGAGCAAGGTAGCACAAAACAAGAGGGTTATTCAACTCCCATGACAACTATTCACAACAAGCCTTTTTTTTAGTAATTCTTCCAAATACTGCACTGCAAAAGACATGTTGTTGCCAGCTCTGCTTTACAGATGGGGAAGGGGTCAGTAAGCCTGTGGGCATTCATTTTATTCTTACCCTTACAGAGCCTGAGGCAGAAATGTAACATCCATCCCTGGCTCCCAACTCTGCTACTGAGTCCGCTCCTCTTGCCCACTGCTGCTCAGCATTTTGAAGGTTAATCAGTAGGAATGGGAAGATGGTGCAGTAGCAGAAATGTTACTTTGCCCTCTGCAGCCCCTTCACACCTCCAACCTTCAGCTTTTTCAGGGCTGTGTTTCAGCTTGAGTCCTCCAAGCACTTGTTAGGCAGCCATCGCTGGCAGGAGTAAAAATTAGTTTAAGATGCAGTTGGCTGCTGTTTCCATCGCTCTTTGCCAGCTCCCTCAGCAGATTTCCTGGCATACTGGGCCACAGTTGGACTGAGGGAGAAGCACAAGCCATGCAAGGGCTACTGGTAAGGGCCATTTAGTTTGCAAATGCACGGGTAGCTATCTTAGCACTAAGCAGGTAATAGGAGAGTCAAAACATAAAAATGCATTTTAAGGCGTCTTTAATCCAATTCACATCCTTGTGCATTTGTTTGACTCAGTGAGTCAAGATGAGTTCAGTCAAGCTGAGTTTTGTGGTTTCATTTACGATCACCGGATGGGAAGTGCTGCACCCTGTCGGCCCTGCCGGCAGTGCACAACCTGCAGGCACTGCAGTCACTCCTCCATCATCAGCAGTGGGAGTCTGGGGTTCCACCAGAGACCTTATGTCCCCCTATTCCCAGCTGAGTTGGGACATTAGGCCCTCTTGCAACTTCTAAAGGCTCTCATTTTGCAGTGGCTTCCATGGCTCCTGCTGCAGATCTTTCCTGTTCCTACATGCCTTCACTGACACCAGCAGAGCTGCTAATTTGAATTACTGTCCCCTGCCTCCAATACAATAATCCTTACCTGTACAAACTCCAGGGTTAAGGGGTTGCATGCTGCTTTTTATAACTTTACCACCAACTCAGTTTTTAAGAGCCTTTTCCTGCACTGTTTTTAAGAGTCTGTTTTGTCCACTCTGCAACTTGATTGCATTGCTACGGTAGTATTACTAAAAAAGTAATTTCTTTTTCTTAAAAAAAAATAAAAAATCAATAATTGGCATTGCTGTGTGAGGTCTCTGACATTAATTATAAATAAATGTTAGACCTACTAAAATAAGAAATCAAATTTACAACAGCAGGCTGCATGCTGCTGCTGAAGCCTATGTGGCTGCCATGATACAGATACGAAATATAAAGTCTTGAGGACTGCAGTTTGCATTTTATTGCCAAGGAAAATGAATGTGTAAATAGCAATAAAATGCACAATTATTTAGCACAAAGCCAAAAGGCTCCACAGCATTTATAGGCTGATGGATAGCTTGCCTCTCTGCTCTAATTTTCCATAAAACAAGGAAGACAAGAACAAAGGAAAATAAACAATGGTTCCTGTCACTATGATTAGCTGCAAGCGCCAGGTGAGAGCAGCCGGTCTCTGAAGAGGGTAACACTGAGCTGCTTCAGCTGCTTTTTGCTTCAGGGATTGAGTCCGGATTGCAGTGCTGCTTGGCAAAGGCAGCTGAGTGGGAGCTGGGCAGGGAGGTAGGATTGCTGTTCCCAGGGTTCTCATGTGCCCCATCCATGATGCCTCCAGCAGAAGGACAGAGCAGCCGCTTGGGGTGTGGTAAGGGCTTCGTGCCTGCAGCAGGAAGAGAGGACTATTAGGCCCTCTGTAACAGATTGGAAAAAAAGGCGTTTGGACTCGATAACCTTAGAGGTCTTTTCCAACCTTAATGACTCTATGATTCTATGAAAAGGTTGCTGGCACAGCAGTCGGCTCTCAGGGGCATCACCCATGACATGAGGAGAGGCTGGGACAAAAATGGGGGGGACAAAAAGGTAAAAGTCCTTCAATGACATCTGTTAAAAAGCAAGGAGGGAGGGAAGCATTTGAAACAGTTTATGGGATAAAGTAAGCTGCAGACAGAGAGAGAGCTACCAGCTGGCTCCCTGGCTGTGATTCCATGACCTGTGGCGATGCCTGCAAAGGAGCCGCAGGGTTTCATGCTGGGTCCTGGAAGCAGGAGCTGGTTTGCCTGGCACCAGTCACCATAGTTATCTGCTGCCTCCACCTGTATCTAGAAGACACCATGCTATTGTCATCCACCCTATTCAAGAGCATTTTAGAGTGTGACACAGGTATTATCAACTTGGGTTTTATTTGGGTTTTTTTCTACCTATGTGTGTCCACGTAGGCATACAAGCCCAAATTTCACATACTACCTTTCTCTGGGGCAGAGAAGTCACGTGCAGCTGCTCACATTTGCACAACCCCTTTTAGGTCACTGAGGTTGCAAAAATATGAATCTGGTGCTTAGTGTGATATTAGCCACAGGTTCCTTATGCAGACAGCAGTACTCTCGCAAAGGGCAATAAAAGTAACCTGGTGATGATGGAGAAGCTGAATGGACATGGATAAGCTCTGGGATCATTCCTCACAAACAGCCAGGATAAGAGCCAGGGTGTGCAGTTCCAGTCTGTCACTGAGACACATGCCTCAATCTCATGCTTTCAACTCACACTTGTAATTTTGAAGTTAAATTCCTCCACTGAGTGATCATGGAGCAGGCACTCACTGGCAACGTGGGGACTCTTGCTGTGGTGGGTTGACCAGTACAGGTCAGGTGCCCACCAAAGCCACTCTTGTCACTGCCCTCCTCAGCTGGATAGAGGAGAGAAAACACAATAGAAGGCTTGTGGGATAAGGACAAGGAGAGATCACTCACCAGTTACTACCACAAGCAAAACAGACTCAACCTGGGGATAAGACTAGCATGATGAGAAATAAAACCAAATCTTAAAACACCTTCTCCCCACCCCTCCCTTCTTCCTGGGCTCAACTTCACTCCTGATTTGTCTCCCTCCTCCCTACCAGCAGTGCAGGGAGACGGGGAATGGAGTCTTCAGTCAGTTCATCCCATGTCTCTGCCACTCCCTCCTCCTCAGGGAGCTACTCCTGCACAGTCTTTTCCAACATGAGTCCTTCCCATGGGCTGCAGTTCTTCATGAACTGCCCCATTGTGGGTCCCTTCCACAGGGTGCAGCCCTTCAGGAACAGACATCAGTGACCTCAGTGTCTGCAGAGCTACTACTCTTACATATTCCCACTCCTCTCTCCACTGGCTGCTGTTGAGCAACTTTTTTCTTTCTTAAATATGTCAACCCAGAGGCACTACCACCACTGCTGATGGGCTTGGCTTTGGTCGGTGGTGGGTCCATCTTGGAGCAGGCTTGGCACTGGCTCATGGGGGGAAGCTTCTAGCACCTTCTCACAGAAGCCACACCTGTAGTCCCCCTACTGCCGAAACCAAGCAAATCTGCCAAGCAAATCCAAGAGATTTGCATTCTCACGTGCTGGGCTCCTAATTTAGACACCGAAATTCAGTGCCTGAGGAGAGGCAGCGTGAGTAATCTGGAGTGCAGAGGAAGGAGATACATTAGCTGACAACAAACACAGAGATTTTTTTCACTGCTGGACTTCTCAGTGTATTTTGAGCCTGCTCCAAGTTCACGTAAAGCCAGCGGAGTCTTTCAAATTATTTGCACCAGCTATTTTATCCAAAGTCCCATTTTAAAAAATTAAGGATGAATTTTAGTATTGCTCCTGTTTATAACAGTGGAAATTTTGTGAAGGACAACTTCTATATTCAACAGAATCAGTACAAAAGAATCCAAAATAACAGAATGGAGAGAAGTGCTTTCTATTCACATCTACTCCACTCACTTCAATGAGAATTCCAGAAGCAGGTCCTGCAAGAAGGAAATTATTACTCTTGCTAGGGGAAATGTCCTGTGAAGGACTCTTGATGTGGCTTGTCAGACCTTGTTCAGAGCACAAAGCCAGCAGAAAAGGTTCAAGTAACATGTGCAATAAATGCAACATCTTTCATCAATTACCAAGCTACAATGTAAAATCAAAAGTAAAATGCTAAATACCAAGTTCTGTGTTTTCTCAAACATTTCCCTTCATAAGAGTAAAAAAATATATAAATCAAGTAATCATCAGTTGGACTGTGTACTTGGATTTGAAAGCAGATAATAAATAGTACATCCGTCTTTCACTTATTAACATAACTAAGCTCATTGCATAATATCTGCTTATTTTTGGAAAGCAGTCCTTTTTACCTGTTCCAATAGCACATTACTGAGTTGGCAAGAAGCACGAGTTTTTGAGTGAATAAGAGAATTTCTTCAGTTTGAACTCACTTGCCAAAAATTTCGTCTTGAAAGTCTGGGTCTCCAATTAAACAACTTTTTCTTTTTTTTTGGAAGGACAAAGTCCCCTTGACTCAAAAGTTCCTTTGTTATAGTCCCCTCGACCAGCTTTGCCATTGTTTCCATTTCATTTGGCTATGTGTGATGCTGTCAGTTTATTTATCTCACAAATGATTACAAAGAACATTTTGGTAGAGTAGACTGTTCTGCCAGATCAAACACTCAGAGTGTTGAGAAGACACATCTCCTCCCATCTATCTTTGCTCAGGACAAAACCTGTAGCTCCAAACCAGGGGTTAGACTGTCAGAAAATGGTCCATGATTGTTATTATCCTGTGCCCTGTGCTGGTTCTGCTCCATGAAGCTGAAGGCTTAATCCTGAACCATGCAGAGGATGAACCTCCCAGAACACCCTGATTGGCCTTGAGCCCTAAGACATCTCATTTCTGTCCCTCTGACAGACCTGCAACAGCTGAGGATTTCCTGCAAAGTTTTGATGGCTTCTCTGCACTGTTCTGTGCTTGCTCTCAGTAAGTCCTATTGTGGCTGTCATCCAGTGTTTATATTCCTTAGTTCAAGTCTCATAAAAAGCCCAATTGCTGGTCTTGGAATGATAAATCAGCATTTCAGAATTTACTCTTGCTTCCATGCAGTGCTATCAATCATGTCCAATATATATTTTCTAGTGCTTCTCTTTTCCTTAACCTCATTATTGTACAAAACAGTGCTGGGGGAGAGAACTCCGGCATGTATCTGAATACCAGCAATTATTATAAGATTTGAGAGTTTAGGGCGTTGGATTAAATCTGTATCTCTGAGTGGGATTCTCAGGATTTTATGAAGACAACAAAGCCTCAGGATGCCTTAGCCCTTTTG